GCGAGAGAGAGAGAGGGATATATATATATATCTATATCTATCTGTCGGAACTGTGTGAGTCAGGTTCTCGAAGCCCGCCCCTGAAAAAAGCCACCCAGACGGTACTGGCCGTGTGCGGGAACGGCTCCCTTCTCTGTGGAGACCGAGGTACACAGCCAACATCCTCCTGGGCCGGAACCAGGCCCACAAGCCCTTCGGCTCCCCAATTGAGCAGAACTACATGCCTTGAAGTCTTGTGCGATTGGGAAAAGTCTGAGTTCCAGCTGAGGAACAAGCCTCTAAACCCAACTCCTAAGTCTCGCCAGGCTTCTCCGAGTGTGAGCTCAAGAAAGGGTTTCCATCTGAGGAACCGAGAGATGGCCGAACGGCTTCAGACCCTGCTCTGCGCGGTGCGGGCCCAGCGCCCACTGCAGCTTCGCTACGTGAAGGGCCACTCAGGCAGCCGAGGCAACGAGCGCGCCGACCTCCTGGCAGCCAGAGGCCGGGAGATGGGCTTATAATGTAATATAGTATAATATAATGTAATATAATATAGTATTATATCATATAATATGATATAATTGCCTGGTTGGTGCAATCGTGTGCTTTGGTGGGTGGGGGCCACATGTGGCGCACGACTTGTAGTCCCTCTCCGACCTCAACCTCCAGACCCCCGAACGTCCTGTCTTCTCACCTGTGGTTGGTCGAAACTTCTCCTGCATTAGCAAGTATGACAGAATCTTATTGACTTATTGCTGAATGGCTTTTCGCATCTGGTTGAATGACGAATTTGAGGCAACTGTGCGATACGTTGTTGCAGGATGTTTCTGTTCAGTTGGAGTGTGAATCCACCGTTTTCCTGCTTCTGATCTTTTACCAGAGCCGACCTAGCGTGACTTTGTGAAGTGTACGCGTGAACTGCGAAGTTTCGTGATTGTTCGACAACTCCGTGCTTGTGCGATTGAAGGCAGAGCCGTCTTCTGGACCAGTATGTCATGAGTTCACTATTTTTGATCTCACCTAGAGGGTCCGGAAACCCTCAACCTTCAGACTCTAACTAGCTCTACCGGGTAGATTTTGCTCTGCGTCTTAGAGCAGACAGCCAATCAATGTATTGTCTTCGTGGAATGAGCCCGGCTTGAACTTGAACTCTAGGTCATCTGAAGCTGCTTGGTGGTGTTGGACTGATCCCGAACCTATGAAGCAACCTTGTTGTGAGCCCGCGCAACGATGAACCTGGTCTGGAAGTGTCCGAGTGGCGAGGGCATAAATCTTGCAACGGATAGTAAGTGGTTGACTCATCCT